TGGATTATCCTAATAACATAGCTTTCAAGCTTCATGAAATGGTAAGTCACCAAGAGTGTGAGGATACTATATCTGATTCAGAAAGGCACGGGACACTGATTCTAAATTGCAAAATCCTGGCCGTGAGAAGCTGCTATGAATTGGAACCTGAGGCGCTTCGTGTGCTTAATAAGATTCATCAAAAACCAATTGTTCCACTTGGATTGCTACCTCCATCACTTTTCGGTACAGAAGATGAAGTAGGAGATGAAAACTGGGAAGCCTTGAAGAAATGGCTTGATAGTAAGCAAGAGAAGTCCGTTTTTTACGTCGCACTGGGTAGCGAAGTGTGTCTGAGTCAAGAGTTAATGCATGAATTGGCATATGGGATAGAGAAATCCGAGTTACCATTTATTTGGGTGGTGAGGAATCCCCCTTTAGTTGAAGAACGATCGGCAGAAGACATGATCCCACCAGGACTCGAAGAACGAGTTTCGGAACGGGGTTTGATTTTACGAGGCTGGGCACATCAACTCAAGATATTGGCTCACTCCTCAGTTGGTGGTTTCCTGACTCACTGCGGGTGGAGTTCAGTAATTGAGTCGCTTGGGGTGGGAAAACCCTTGATATTGTTTCCTGTTGGAAGTTCAGATCTTGGATTAGTGGCTAGGTTGATGCAGTGGAAAAAGGTTGGATTGGAAATAGAAAGGGACAATGTTGATGGATCATTTACAAATGAGTTGGTGGCTGGATCTATTAAGCGGGTCATGGTGGATCAGGAGGGTGAGCAACTCAGAGCTAATGCACATGCGATGAAGGAGATTGTTGGCAGCGTAGAGCTGAGTAACAAATACTTATATGAGTTCACTCAGTTATTAGAAAATTTGACGGGGTAATGGTACCATGTATGGAGCTAGTGTTATGAGTCTTTGAAAAAAAATTATGTTTTTATATAATTTAAATATTTATTTTATATATTTTTTAAATTTTGTAAATTCATTTTATAACTGAAAACGATGCGTTAATCCTTAGATGATAATATGATGCGTTTAATCTTAATAGAGGAAATACCCTGTCGGTCTATCACATCCGGTTAATATATGTGTGCGTTTTGAGTTTAAGCATTTGACAACCAATTACTTACAGCCGACAAGTTCAGTTGGTTTTCATGCTATTTAACCATCACTCATCCGGTTCACTAATTAGAATTTAATCTCATTCATTCTACATGCAAAAAAATTAAAAATTTTAATTAATACAATTTACTTAAAGTAATTATATTATACGAATATTTGATTTAAACAATATTTTAAATTAAAAATTATTATCTTTTAAAATATATATATATTATCCTATAATTAACAAAAAAAATTATTTTTAATAAAAAATATTTTTTATTATAGCTTCATAAATATACATTTTTTTAATTTTTAATTATCTAACTGAGTTAATGTGAATGAGTTTAGCGATATCAAAATAAAACAGACTCATAAAATTTATTTAGAAACATTTTATGTAAAAATATATTAAATGAACAGAAATTTTATATTAAAAGTATTTTTTTTAAATTTATTCAATCATAGTCAGAGGTTGAGTGAGAAATAATGGTAATTTTTTAAAAATTAAAATTTTAGGTTACAATTGAAAATGTTACCAAAGATATAATATTTTAGATTGGACCGAATAACATTTTAGATTGTAACTGAGTATTGATACTTGTCGTGAAATAAATATTAAACCACAATTAACATTTTAGGCTGCAACTTTAAAATATATTCGTGAAATATAATCGATCTGGAACGCTTAAACCTCATAATTTATACAATTTTCTTTCTTAATCTCCCAACCTCATAAATGATAATATGTATTCTATGTTAGACTCTAACTATAACTAAAAAAAATCATATTTCTTACCAATTGATGATAACAAGTTTTACGTTTCAACTCTAACTTCTTTTCAGAACATTTCTTTGACTTAAGTATCGAACCTGAGACCATGAATTTTGATTTTTCTTTCATCGAAGTGATTTTCATATATTTTTTAAAATCCAGCTATCGAACTTTTTAATATTTCTTAAATTGAACATTATATCATAGTTTCTATTTTTTTTCCTTTTCTAATCGAATTACATTATATATTTTATGGCACAATTGACATTATTTAAGTATAATTTTCAAGTTTAATTGGATTTCTTAAAGTAACTTATAACATTTTTTTAATTAATTTTTTAACATTTTTATCTGAACTTAATTTCTTAGCAATCAATATCATTCTTGGACGCAACCGGATCTGTTAACGTGATTGATTACATTTTCGGTTTTCAACTTATTTTATAATACTATGACTATTTTCTTTGACCAATTTGTTAAATCTCGGTAACATTTTCGGTCCAAACCGGATTTGTTAAATAAACTTATAACATTCACGATCTCAACCTAATTTCTTAGTGATTGATTACATTCTTGGGCGCAATCGGATTTGTTGACGTGATTGATAATATGTTCGACTTTCAACTTATTTTGTTACAATGACTATTTTCTTTGACTCTTTTGCTAAATTTCGGTAACTTTTTAGGTCCAAATCGAATTTGTTAAAGAAACTTATAACTTTCCAAATCGCAACCTAATTTCTCTGCGATCGGTAACATTATTGGGTGCAACCGAATTTATTAACGCGATTGATAATATTTTCAGATTTTAACTTATTTTGTTACCGTGACTAAACCCTTAGTCCATTTGCTAAACTTCGGTAACATTTTAGATCCAAAATTGGATTTAAAAAAAAAACTTATAGCATTTTAGATCTCAACCTAATTTCTTAGTGATCCGGTAATATTCTTGGGCGCAACCGATTTGTTAACATGATTGATAACATTTTCGGCTTTCAACTTATTTTATTACCATGGCTAAATTTTTAGCTCATTTGTTAAACTCCAGTAACATTTTAGGTGCAACCGAATATGTTACTACAATTGATAATATTTTGGGTTTTGTAACTTGTTTTGCTACTCGGGTAACATTTTCATTTACAACCATTATTGTTATCAAAACGTTGAACATTTTTTATTCTTATTTATTACATTATATGTTCCGCTTTTAACCTGTAACCGATCTCACTGTTTATTAGCTTTATTTTAACAGTCTCACGGTAGAATTGAAGGGAAATTCTTTCTCTCTCTTGTTGTTCTGCTACTTGTTTCATTTCATTAGACTCAAAGAACATGTGAGAGATTAGAGGAATTTGCTTGCAGGAGTTGCTAGTCACTTCATCGTGAAACTCTATTATTCATTTCAAGATGCTTATCTGCATGGCGGTGACATGATGACTTTGCTAATGGGAGAAGACACTCTAACTGAGACTGTGGCTAGATTTTACGTTGCTCACAGCGTTCTTGCCATTGAATCTATTCATAAGCATAATTACATTCACAGGTTAGTAGCCTATTGTTGGTTACCAACAGAATATTGGGCAGTGTAAATGTGGAATTTGCTAAGGCTGTGTAATTTCTAACCTGCTATAGCTCTTGTGAATATTATCAATATCTGGCAAACTTGCGCTTTTTTCCTTTTCCTTTCTCCAGAGACATTAAACCTGATAATCTTCTGTTGGACAAAAATGGTCATTTGAAGCTCTCTGACTTTGGTCTTTGCAAGCCTCTAGACTGTAGAATTTTATCTTCTATAAATGAAAATGAAACTCTCGATGATGAGAATTTGAATGAATCAACGGATGTTGATTCTGGTAAAGGAAGGCGCTGGAAAAATCCCCTTTAACAATTGCAGCACTGGCAGCATAACAGGAGGAAATTGGTACGACCATACTTTCTTTCTGTTAAGTTACATGTAATCATTCCGATGCATGCATGCATGCATGTTTCAATGGCAGGCCTTTTCAGCAGTTGGAACACAAGATTATATTGCTCCTGAAGTACTGCTGAAGAAAGGATATGGCATGGAGTGTGATTGGTAAGACTTAGGATGAATGATACTTTGTCATGAGATTTGTATAATTTTAGGTCTTATTTTCTTCATTTTGTCATTCTTCATCTGCCTTTTTCTTATGCTTTTAACTGAATGTGGACTTTAAATTTTTAATGCAACATAGTTTGTTCCAAGAAAACTTGGTTGAGGACATGCCGGTCTAATCCTTATTTTATTTTCACCAAGGTCTGAAAATGCCTATGAAACAAAATCATGTTTGCTAAAATTGAACATTTATCTAAACCAAGATGAATATACCTTTTAATTTGTTCTTTTCAAGATATTTTAGAATTTAGTGTGAAAAATTGGTTTGACAGTGATCTAAAGTAAGCCGCAGTTGGATATACAAACGCGTTCTCTGAAGACTTTTCCCCCTGCAATAACTGGATAGACTTAGCAGAGATCTTTTACGTAAATTGTGCTATGCATTCTATAAAATGAATAATCATAATGGACAAGGTAATTGGGTTTTTTCTTCAATAATTTCTCATCAGTTAACCTGTTTCAGGTGGTCACTTGGTGCTATCATGTATGAAATGCGTGTTGGTTATCCTCCATTTTACTCTGATGATCCAGACATGCAGAAAGGTTTTATTAGCTTTAGAATTTTGTTTTCGAAGCTTTCAGCAATTTTGAGTTGATCCATGGGGAATTAGCTTTTAACTTCCATTACCCTATTTGCAAATTCTCATGTGCCCTTCTTCAAAATCCCATTACATATATTGTCTGCCTCGTTGCCGTGCTTCTTTCTGTTCTTTCGGTAGTCTTAACGATAATTTAAGGTAATGTTAGTATTCAACTAATTCAATTCATTTTATAAAATTTTGTGTTGTGATGTTGAGTGTGATGTTAAATTTAGCTTGTTTTGTTAAGCGTTTCGTATGAATTCTTTAGCTCTCTGACCACTTATAAACGATTAAACACTTTCATTGAAATTTCCAGATTGTGCAGTGGAGAAATCATTTGAAATTTCCAGAAGAAGCAAGGCTGACAACCGAAGCAAAGGATTTGATATGCAAATTGCTTTGTGATGCTGAACTTAGGATTGGTACTTCAGGAGCAGATCAAATTAAAGTAATTTACGAGAATACCAAAATAGTTGTTCCCTTTATCCTTTAAATTTATTTTCCACATATTAACAATGAGAATATTAGGCCCATCCTTGGTTCAAAGGTTCTCAATGGGACAAACTCTATGAAATGGATGCAGCATTTAAACCACACGTCTAGCGAGAGCTTGATACCCAAATTTTTTTGAAATTTGATGAGGTAAGTCGTATTCATGCTTTCTCAATATTTAACAATTTTTTGGGGGACTACTGGTGCTAAATTCTGACTGTGTCACAGGTGGACTGTCCTCCAGGAACATGATCTGGGCCATTAAAGAAGATACCTATGAATGCACTTGGTGATGCAGTTTGAACTTTGAATAACTTAACCATTGTTTTGCTGTGCCCATTTAATATTTTAGCCCAAGATCTTAATTTTGAAATTTGAATAACTTACCAATGTGATTTCTTACCTTCTTGGCAGACGATTTTAGCTCCTAAAGATCTTAATTTTGTGGGCTATACATACAAGAATTTTGAGGCCGTCAAAGGGTTACGCCATTCTTTTGGTATGGGATTCTTTGTTCCTTCATGGGAGGACACTATCGTACATTATTTCTTATTTACATAACCTCCGTATGAGGACACAACCGTAACAATCTTTGCAAAAATTTGGTCATTTGGACAAGCCCATGCATGGTTTTCGAGTCAATCAGCTAATACTAAACTCTTTCATTGCTAGAATGGTTAGTCTTCCTTTTAAGTAAAGGAAAGAAGGCCACCCCACCATTCATTCGATTCGTTGTAGCATCTCAACTGCACATGCATATGTTGTTTAAAACAGTATTCAAGCTCGTCCTGTTGCCAAACACATAATTTCTAATCATTCATTCAACTGCATCAGATATAAGAGTTTGGACCGGAAAGACAGTCATCAACCAACTCATTCCTCAGTGAGATTTCATTCCTAGACTAGCATATTTCGGGTCTGGGTTCTATTTACCTGATCGAGTTGAACTTTTCTCACGAATGGCTTTCTGTTTTAGGTGATCCTGGTGTGGACTACTCTGGTACTGACAAGGAAACAAGGATGCTTTGACCATCAGAAGAGATGACATGCATGTCACTTGGAGGAGTGGCTCAATATTTTCCATTTACAGCACCATGCGTAATGGATAAACAAGCTCCTGTTATTTTGATTGATGGGTCTGCCTGCTATTTCAGTCAGGTTCTACCATGTTCTAAGTTGGCTGCCACATTTTCGCCACACCAATAAGTGTACAGAAATGATCAGTTAGAATGACCGAGTAGAGTTCTTTGATGGGGGTTGGTTAGAAGTAGCTATAACCGAGGGTTTTATGTCCATTTAGTCTTGAGTTAGATTGCCTTAAATTCAAAGTCAAGGACTCGGACTCGGTGAGTCAAGATACTTGTTGGTCTTCTATGAAAGCATTGTTCTTTGGTAAGGCGAATTCTATATCATTGTCTCTGGGTGCTTGTCTTTCACCGTATCCCCTAGCCAACGTGAAATTTCATTCATTGTAAAAGAGGAAGACAAAAAAATTGAGGGGGCTTCAAAATTATGAATTGTACTATGTTCTTTAATGGTTTAGAATCATTTATTTTAATTTTGATGAATATTTATTCACTCACATGTTATTTCTTATTTAGTTTAACTACTTATATGTATCAATACTATGAAAATCTTTTGAAACATTAATATTAATATTATTATAAAGAAAAAAGAAGATATTTCATTTACATTGAATTAATATCACTACAGTAAAACAGAGTTAGCGGCGTTTTTTAGTCCTATAACGGCGTTTTTAAGCGCCGCTAAAAACACTTGCGGTGATTGAAAAAACGTTGCAAAAAGTGCCGCTAATACCAGCACTACTAAAGTTAACGCGTTTGAGAACAAAAAACGTCGCAATAGGTCAAGATCTATTGCAGATGTATTTAAAAACACAACATATAATAAATTTATAATTTTGTTTAAGCAAGATCAAAGTTTTAAAGACTACAAATATTTTTTTATGTTTTTACATTTTTATTACATTTTATTTCCTAAAAATTACTTTTAATTTTATAAGTAAATATATTTTTATTAATATTTTCACTTTTAAAAAAATAAAATAACCTTTATTTCCTAAACAAATGTCCATTTGTGTTTCAAGAGGTTCCTGTGTGTTTCAAGAGGTTCTCAAATGCTTCAATCATGAAAGGATGTATTATTAGGAAGAAAAATTGAGCAGTATAGCGTCCAAATGTTTCTTTAAACTTTTTGGGTAAAGTATATAAATAGTCCCTAAACTTTTAAGGTACTTGCATTATGGTGACCCAACTTTTGAAATTTGTAATACAATCATCAAAATTTTAACTCGTTTTCAATAAGGTTCCTGTTGTTACCTCCAGTTAGTTTTTGCTGAAGTGGCACTAACCCTTGTTATAACCCCCTTCTTCTTCCTCTTCTTCTTATTATCCTCTTTATTCTTCTTCTTCTTCTTCTTCTCTCACACCTCCGGTCACCCCACCTCCTGTCAATGGTGGCTCACACCGCCATCACCATCGTCACTGTAGTCGCCTCCCGATCACACCCTGGTCCTCGATTCATACTCACCATCCACCGTTCGGCCCACATTGCGAGAAGAAGTTCGAACACTCATCCCAGACCTTCTTCGTCATTTGCTGGTGATTGTCACCGCCAGTACCAATAGGAGCGTTATCCCATTCTGACCAAAATCCGCTAGCCAATCGTCGAGACTCACCTCAGTTCACCGTGGAGAGGGCCTCGAATCTCGTCGAAAAACCCCAATATCCCTTTTTGTTTGCAATGATTTTTTGTCGATTGGACCGTCTGTTCGCCACATCGCCACCACTGTTAGAGTCCTCACACTGTTCCGACCAAGACCCAATCAGTCGTGCCACCTCCTTCTGTCGTTGGTTAAAAAGAAGAAGAAGAAGAGGGTTAACGGGGGTTAGGTGCCACGTCATCAAACACAAACGGAAAGTAATGACAAAGACCTTACTGAAAACGAACTAAAAGTTTGATGATTGTATTACAATTTCAAAAGTTAGATGACTAAATTGAAAGTACTCTAAAAGTTTGGGGATTATTTCTATACTTTACCCTCCTTTTTTTCCCGATAGAAGCCAATGTTTCTTTAAACTGAAATTATACATTTTACCGTTAATCATTTTTCTAGGACAAACATATCCCCAATTCCTGCATTATTTACACTGCATATAATAAACCACGAGCTGTCTTAGGAGTCGGCTCAATATATTTTTATTACCAAAACCCCCCCGGTACAGAAACTCGACATCCACGCATCCGAACCACTATGATTTATGGGCATAATCGGCATTCAATTTTAACCCATTATTCCATTGCCGAACAAACAAAACACGGGCGCTTCCCATCTCCATGGCTTCGTGCGAACTTTCCATTTTCGATTTCGAACATCGAATCAATTACGTAAACCAATTTCGTATCCGTAATTTAAAGAATCTAATTACCTTGCTTAAAATTACAGTCTCCGCCATCACTTATTTTCTCGATTTACCGGAGGTAGATTTACTCACATTCTTGATTGCGAACGAGCTCTAGGGTTTTCTTCTTGTTCATTTTCTTTTAATTTCTTGACTTTTAATTTCAGTTTTACTTTCTATATTTGTTTTGATTTAGTTTCTGGGGGTTTCCTGCAATTTTTAAAACCATTGTTAGCATTTTTTTTCTTCTTCTTAAGGATGATGTTTGATGATTGAAGCATGATTAAGATGTACAATCGTGGAATTAGAGGATAAAATGGTAAAGTTTGTATTTAGACCGACTTTACTGTGGTTAGTCAAAACAGAAGCAATATGGATAACTTGGATAACGTTTTGTTTCCTCTCCTGTGATCCAATTCTAGCTTGATTTATTTGAAGTAAAAATAAGCGAAGTCGAGCCAATTATTTGTATCCTTTTCCGGGTAAAAGAGGGCGAAACTGATGATCAATGTTGACTTAGATATAACTAAAACGGGAATGATGCTCTTACTGCTGCGATTCTTGAGAAGTCTTTTCCAGTTGAACTTACAGTTAGTTCCATTAGTAAATGATGTTGATCCTCTTACATAATGACAGAGTTCTTTTGTTTGAGTGTAAGTAATGAGCCGCAATAGATTCGACTGACTAATCTTTTGAACTTCGATCCTATCAGATAAACTTAGGTTAATGATTGAATATTTATTTTCCTAAGATTGTATGCATTCACCCTCATGAATTTTGGTAAGATGGTTAATGGTTCCAGGAGATACTCTGAACGATTCTATCTTATGAATGAAGATGCTAGTCTGTCATGGTTAATGGTATGGTTATAAAAGGTTTTGCTACGAATATGCCCAGATCGTCTTTTTATCCATCTATGATTCATGATTCTGATAATGATATGGGTAGGAAAATTAGTAGATTCAGAATTACAACTCCAATGCAAATTTGAATTCTTAAGAGCAATTACCTGATGCTTACTTTACAAACTTCTAGGATCTACTTCTTGTACTGCTTCTTGATCTTTCTCGACTATGGAGCAACTACTAAAACTGTTCAATACTTTTCATACTTTAAATCTTGGGTTCTTGGTGGATACCCAAATGTTAGATGAGGAATTCAAAAGAGAACCTTTCACTAATGTGATTGTAAACACTTGTTAATTTCCACAACTATGTGTCTACTTATATAGCAGATACGTTAATTGGCACGCCTATGTGGATGTCACTATGGGTCTGGATACACATGACATTACCCAAAAATATGCTTGTTTCGCTACATGCACCGTGCAGAGATGGGCAGACAGCTTTAACATCAATCTTCTAATAGGCCATTTAATGCAATTGAGGCTGATCTAGGTGAAGTTATGCAGTTTAGAAGTTTATTTGAATAAAAAATTTATTGAGTTTCATGGGCCTTTTCAATTAATTATTTCATACTTCATGTTTTTTTTGCTGGTGATTGCCTGAAGGGTATCTTTTAAAGTTTATTACGATTTATTTATATTAAATACAGTACTGTACCATTAATGCAATGAATTCCAATGCATTGCTAGAAAATATTACTTGATATGATGACCTTAAACAGTATGCTTTAGGCACTTGTTTGCTAAACCATATTGTTCAAGGTAATTTAGGTTAGATTCATTTGCCTTTAGTTGTTCAGATTATCGTGTGAATCACAAGCGTTGAGTGTTACTTAGAACTTGAAGCTGACTGTATACATCTAACACTTTGCTGGCTGTTATAAGTCAACTATTTAAAGTGAGGACTGAAAGTCATTTAAGCTGCATTTGATGAGAAATGGTAAC